AGAGATGGAGCTACCAGGTAGGAGAAAGAGAGGAAGACCAAAGAGGAGATATATGGATGTAGTGAGGGAGGACATGCAGATAGTTGGAGTCAGAGTAGAAGATACAGAGAACAGAGAGAGATGGAAATCAATGATCTGCTGTGGCAACCCCTGAAAAAAAAAGGGACAAAGCCGAAAGAAAAAGAAGAATTGTTTAACCAACAATAAAATAATTACACAACAATTTACACAAAGAATAAAAACCAACCACTTTTATTAACAAACCAACCACTCTTATTAACAAAAACATAACAAAACTTTTATTTTTTTTAATGAAAATATATCACAACATTTTAACCATCCCAAATAAAAAGGGAAACAATTACAGAAGTGAACACCCGTCGAACCTAATCATAGACCAGCTGGACGGACACCTTGTTTTCCAGCGCTTCATTCTGTCTGTAGATATATAACGGAGTGTCACTAATGGAAGGGCTGACATTCCCTTCCTTCTCCTCCTCTCCTTCCAACTCTGAGATCAGGTCCCTGAAGGAGGACACGCACACGTCGTGGTCCTGAAGAGACTTGGGATATAAGGCTGATGCCCTCTCGATTCGCACTGAACGTCGAACCGGCGTGAGGAATCGAATCACCTGCCCTTCCAGCCGTCCTGGTTTTCCTTTTTGGCTGAGGAAAGAGAAGAATGCGACACTTCGTAACGTTCGGTTTCCACGTTTGCCAGCTGTCTCTCATTTACTCGTAATTAAATTTCCACACGCAGCATCGTGACTAATCTCCTTCGATTCATAGTGCGTATCTAACGGTTCAATACAGACGCGTGTATTGTTGCACCACTATTTAAGTATGTGGCTGCAATTCACAGCTTGCGTCACTGAAGGCACCATTACGGATATGTGGTTACACCAGGCTGAATTACGATAATCACTCTAATCACTCTAAAAGTCGTGTCCTGTAAATTTTAGAAACGCGTGCAGTACTGACAGCTGTAACATTGATACATAGCGTCGAACCTACCCAGGAGTAGCCGTGATCTTATACTTGACCACGGATGACGCTCCTTTCTCTCCAGTCAGCAGGACTCTGCTAGGTTTAGGGGTCATCACTGTGTTGTCGTTCTCAGGAGAAGTGGGTAGAGTTAAAGCTTGGAGTTTTCCTTTCTCCTTAACTTCAGATGCTGTAAACAGCAGATAGAAAAAAAATTTAATCAATACTTTAAATCTTAAAAGAGTTTTAAAGTACTGACACAGCCACAGCAGTTGCTAGCATCGTGAGTTTGTTTTAGGAATATTCAGGTTTATTAGCACAAACAAAAATTACTTCACTTTAAATCCCGCTCCCAATATCAACTGTCCTCTAGTGGCAGGCTGGAACGTGTGCCATACTTAGCCATACTTAACACTGTATATAATATATGGTATTCGTTTTATAAAAAATATATAAAAAAAGAAAAACAACTTTCTTTTTTCTATTTTGCAGGTTGGACCTTTCCATACCACCTTAATTAGATGTCTGAAAAGTCCACCTTTTTATGTGTAGAGATTTATAGAATGGAGCAGCATGTCAAAAAGTCATTGGAGTTTTTGCAGTGTAAAAGAAAAATGGTTTTAACAGAAAAAATGTGTCCAGAAAGAACTAATGTCTATTCTCAAATAGTTTTGTTTGTCGTGTGCTTTTAATCTCCAAGATCAGAATGTTTACAAGTCACAGATGTTGCTCCCTGCTACTGGCTCTGCCAAAATCTAGTAGAAGTATTCGAGCAAGAGCTGTTGAAATTTTAACCAACTGTGTACACAGAGAGTTAATCAAACAAAAATAATAAAAGTACAAGAACAGACGAGGTTGTATGATACGATGATGAACTCATTACCTCGCATGTCCTTTTTCTTCAGAATTTCAAACACCACCATCCGCAACTCATCTACTGGCTAGGAGAGAGAAAAAAAAAGAAACACATAAAACAAAAAAACAAACAAACAAAAAAGGTTTATTTATTTACTTTTAAGTGTCTATTTTGAAGAGGACTGAGTATATCAACAATAGAAGCTCAGTTCTCTTTAGCATTGTATACTGTAACCTGGAAGAGCATTAAGACAAAAACAGGAAGTACAAATATTATAAATATAAATACAAATAGTCCAGAAAATACGGTAAGCCCGAGGGAACCTGTATGATTCACTGTAGAGCTGTATTATTCACTGCACTGGTATGGACCCCACAACTTCAACAAGAACATTCCACAACTGTAGAGAACTCTTCTGTGATTCTCACATTACCTCTAAAACCACACGGACAGCTTCTTCAAAGATGGGCAGAACATCCAGGTTATCCTCCCGTTCCATCAGTCTGACCTGGCAGATCCAGTATTTGGCAAATTTCTGAGACACTGATGGCAGTCGGGACAGAACCTGCTTCACCTTGTCCGGTGGGCAACCCTGCAGTTTTTACCAAACACACATTTAATCAAAGGATCAGAAATATTATGTGCAGGTCTTTGGAAAAGAATATTGGCAATAATCTGACAATTCAATATGTATCACGATACAGGGGCAATGGTACGATATATTGTGATACTATGGGAGCAAAATATTGAGTTTTTTTTAAAACTATTCAAAGTACACACACAATATTGTTACGTGCTAAACATCAGGTACTAAAATTGTAACAGAGAGATCGACATTTGTATTAAGTAGAGAGGAAATAAAATAACAATAAGTAATATAAATGTCGATGCAGCACTGTAGAATATCCATATGGTATCGTGAAAGGAAATATTGTGATATTTCCGTGTATCGATATTTTCTTACATTCCTATTCTGAATGTTCCGAGACAACTTTCGTTACTGTTGCGTATTTGCCCCGGAGTACTTACACTCTCCCAGTTATATTAATGGGCACTACGATGTGGCTTGGGGATTGGTTTTTACCTTTTATGTTTGCTAAAAAAAAAACCCGTTGTCAAATATTTCAACATAAGCAATCATCTTAACAACAGCTGCCAAGTATGTGCCAGAGGACAAAGATTAGAATGTGAACCTGTGACTTGAGAGGTCATCCTACTCAAAAACTCAGACATTACTTGTCTTGACATGTCACTAGTGTAAGCACTCCTCTGCTGACATGTTAATATAATAATAAATTAAACTAAAATTCAGTTGGTGTCAATACTGCTCAGCCCCGGGCCTTCAGCGTCACACTTCCTGTCGAACATAATCGCAGGTCTACTAGTACAAACAACATTGCTTCATACACACATCTTTGAGCAATTTGATGCAGTCATCCAGGGACCTGTCCACGGCACTGATCAATGAGTAGGCGTCGTCTTCCTCCTTCTTGGCCGTCGAAAATGGCTGCGGTGTTTCAGCAGCAGGCTTGACCTGAGGCTTCACAGGCATTGCGGGACGCTTGTAGGATATGCCCTTAGCTTCTCGCCATTCCTGCAGTTTTCGCCTTTGAACAATATATAGAAAGAGACTGGGTTGATAAAACAACACATTGTATGATATCCTAATAAAAATTTTAATACCAACCACTGGGGCTGAACAACAGTTGTTTTTGGGTTTCTGTAGGTGTTTTTTGTTTGTGCTGCTGTTTTACTCACATTCTTTCCTCTTGGGCTGCGGTAACTTTCTTTACTTCGGTCTTTGGAATCAGCCTGACTGGTAGTTTTGGTGTCTTCGTGCCTACATCTGGGCCTGTGTGACAGAAGGACTTTCCAAGCCGGGACACTCTCATCGACATAACCGAAGCACCAATTTTGTTTCCACCTGCTTGGGATTTTAATGCATTGGCTGGAATGTGTGTTTTTATCTTCTGAGTGTCTGTAGTGGTCTCCCATGTTTCTCTTTGACGTAAGGCAGCTGTTTGTCTTTTCCCAGTGTCTGCACTCTCTTTGTCCTTTTTTGGCTGGACATTTTCACTCTGGAGGACATTTTTCTTATCTCTAGGTACTGACTTGTGCAATGATGACTTTTCTGCAAACAAGCTGGCTGAATTTGTAGTTCTTGGAATGGTTCTTTTATCTAATGATTTCAATTTCTGAGAATAAACCATTGGCGGTTTTGAGTTCAACCTGCCCACACCGTGGACTGCAGTGTCTGCACTCTCAGTCACTCTTTGATTGACAGGTTTGTTAACTGAACTGACGGTAGTAAATTTCCGCTGAACCACTGTGGAATTTTGTGAAAAAGGGATTGATGACAAACTTTTCAATCTTGACATGTTTGGAGCACAAGGAGCAGTATTTGTGATATCAGCTACTGTAGGACGGGAGACTTTGACAGATGACAATATCTTTTTTGTATGTGTCACTGCAGGAATGAGACCGGTTTTTGTTTTGATTAAAGGGCCCAGATTAACGCGGCCACCTCCTGAATTCTCTGGAACTTGGCATACAGCATTTGAAACGCATCGATACCTGCTGTCAACTAATGCACTTTTTTTTCTGGTGGGTTGGGATTTAATTTGACCAACTGCAGTAGTTTTGGTGGGATTAGTTCTAGACACTTTCAGTTCTGGGTTGGTCTTGGCAGAACTGCTGGATGCAGCGAACCACCTAGGATTTTGCCGTTCTGCAAGAATGTTGCTTTTTATGTTAATTTTGTTACTAAATCCAAATTCCTTTGGGCCAGTTGGTTTTATGGCTTGAGAACCAGAAGCTGTCACTTTTCTGATCTGATTTATATCTTTTTCTGATGGACCTTTGTTCTCATTTTCTTTAAAATCCTGTGAAGAGATAAATAGCAAGTATCAAGTATCAGGACAAAATGGGTTTGTTTCGCCCACATTAGTATATTTGATCCACCTCCTGCACTCACACACACCTTTTGTGACGATCTTTCAGTCTTCTTATTTTGACAGTCATTGTACAGGTATGATCTGGAAAAAGAAGATAGAGTCAGTTTTGCAAAATAAAAAGGTTAAAAGTTATCACACTGCACCATACCAACCCCCCAAACCTTCCTGCAGGTGGTGAGTCCACTGAAAGGTATTAACCGCCCTAACCGGGATTCGAACTTGCCCAGGAGGTGAATCCTGGGGTTCCACACCAATGATAGAGACCTTGCCTCTGGGCCAAAGCGCCACTAACACCAAAATAAAACAAACAAACAAACAAAAAAACACACTGTAGTCCGTTTAATAACATTTTATTAAAGTATAAAGTAACTGGTTAGAACAGTTACATGTCATTGTTGACTCCCAGTGTGCTCCAGTTGTGTGCCATCATCAGTGAGGCACTGTGTGGTTTGGCTTTATAAAATC